AGGGGGCACATGTCAACTTGTCAAGTAACAGGGTGCCTGAGCTGATTTCTCTATTTAGACTAGCTGGTGATAGGGGACATATGCTACATAGCAGGGTGTCCTAGCTGCTTATTCTGTCTATTTCCTTTCATTTATATATATTTTTTTCATCCATTCTAAATAACTGAGCCTCATTAAATTTCTCACAGGATGTCTTAAAAAGGTGTCTTTTTGGGAAAGTGTGTGAGTTAGTGACTATGGAACCCCATGCACATTGTTAAATAGAGCAATAAACAATTTCCTAGAAAACAAAGCAGTTGTATAAATAGGACATGACCCTGTACTAATGGTTGGAATCACAGGAGAAAGCACTGGGAATTCAGAAGAGAATATGTTTCTTTAAGAAATGTTTGTTGATGGATAACACAATCCTCAGTGGGCTAAATTGCATTGTCTATTAATGGAAGTTAGAAGCGGAGAGCATTTCCTTTTAAAGAGCCAATGGAGATCACTGTGTCCTACTTTTAAATAAGGATATACAAACATCTGACAGCTTGCTTTAAGCTTGAGCAATTTGAATTGACTTAAAAAAAAGATGTTTATTTAGTATTTTTTAAAGTTTCAATCCAAAAAGAAAAAGGGTCTCCAAAACCACAACACAAGCAACACTCAGGTTGCAACTGAAACAAGGAACAGACACACATACGCACCACACTGTATACACACAACCGACCCCTGACCCAGACTACAATAAGATAATACCCATCAGGTCAGCTCAGCTCAGCACCACCCATTGTTTTTCAATAGACGTGAACTATATTCAAGCATCCAAAATTGGAATCCTCATACAAGGACATCACACTTTAGTCAATTTCTTAGGGCAAGCCCTGGCTTCATAGATCAATTTGTAATTAGAAACAACCTCATCCACCAGAGTCAAAAACATCTCAATAGTGGGAGGTTGGGGCTTTTTCCAATGCAACAAAATAGCTTTACAAGCATAAAAATCAGATCAGAATAAAGTCCTCTCTGCAGAGTGGGAGGTGAATGGTTCCACAATGCCCAGCAGCATCACTGACGGAGTGAGAGGGAAGGCAATTACTTATTTTGTAAGAGACCATAAATGTGGACCAATATCCCTGGATGCATTAACAGCACCAGAAAATATTAAAGTGACACTAAACTCAAATCATCACTGAATTGGTACTGACACTGTCCTTCCTTCTGGAGGGTAGCTACTTTTGTTCCCCATGGTCCCTGTGTGTGTTGTAACGTAGCCACCGCTCCAAGCTGAGTAGACAGCAGGATGGAGCATGAAGGTATAAAGCTGACTAGGTGCAAGGAAACTTTTTGTTAAATATATTTAACCGCTTGAAGACCAGGTGTTTAGATCCCCTACCTGGCCAGGCCATTTTTCAGTGTTCAGCGCTGCGGTACTTTGACTGACATTTATTCCGTCACGCAACGCTGTACTGAAATTAATTTTATACCATTTTTTGGGGACAGATAGAGCTTTATTTTGGTGGTATTTAATCACCACTGCGGGTTTTATTTTTTACTATATTCAGGAGAAATTACTGAAAATTTTGAGAAAAAAAAGTTTTTTTTTACATTATGCTATAAAACAACTAATATTACCCACTTTTTTGGTAAAATATAAAAGATCGGGTCACGTCGGGTAAATAATACAAGCGATCCGCCGGCTCTATAGCCGGCGGATCGCTTGTATATTAACGGGCATCGCTGCCTCTTTTCAAATAGCGGGGATTTCCCGCTCGCGCGCGGCGCGCCCGAACGGGCGGATGTAACAGGACGTGTATACACGCCCAGTTACATCCAAGAAGCTCCCGGCAGGCCGTGTATACACAGCGGCTGGCCGGGAGGTAGTTAAGGATAACTTTAATTTGAAAAACAAATACAGACCTACAGGCAGTTTGTAAGCATGAATCTATTAACCAATACATTGGTGGTGGTGGTGGTGATGGTGGTGTGGGAGGGTGTTAAGCATATACTTCCAGAAGAGAATGTCTAGAGTGGCAATCTCCTTTCATCTACAAAGAACAAAGGTGGCCTTGGTGACATCATTCAAATCTGGATCAGATAGTAACATTGTACCTACTCATTTGTTATAACACTTTCCACCTATTTCATGGTGGTACTTGTTTTAACTTCAGTTATCCTCTAAACACTGTTTTCAATGTTGAAGAAATTTTGTCCCCAATTAAAAAATTGCAAGTAAAAGCGCAGAAATATCAAGTGTTTTCCCGTTCCTTAAATTTTGCTTTATTCACTTGCAATGTGCCTTTGAACTTGCTAGAAAATGTTACTAGTCTAGGAGAGTCAGTTCTTTAGGACAGCTCCCTCCCTCCTTGAATGTCATAGCCCTCACCTCTTCTGGGAGTTTCTAATTACTATCTGTGCTGGCAGCTACTCCGCCCTTTCCCTATATCTCTATGCATACCCTTTTATGTAGCTGCCAGGGAGGGGAAGAGTGAAGGAGAATACTATAAAGTGCCATTTGAGTGACAACTCTGAGTCTGCTGGGGCAGCTGACTCACATCCACAATGGCAGCGCCGAGCATCAGTCTCAGGTGTTTTGGATGTTTACACAAGGGAGATTTTTACAGGTAAATAACATGCTTAAAATATGTTAAATGCAAATACAATCTTATGGGATGGTTTTAGCTATAGAGGATGGTTTCACAAAAAAGTATTTTAAAGCAAAAATAAATGTTTGTTATTAGTTGTACAGGTAAGCACAGCGCTTTACATCATTGTTTCCCAAGGTTTGAGCTAGACACGGCTAGGAATCCACAGACTCATTTTTGCCAGTCATTGGTCATTCAGCTGGTCATCTTAGAAAAGTAACATATAATTTTGTTAAATAATTGCTTTCCTGTTTAGTGAATTGAAACAGAATGGGAAGTCACACACAGACTGTCCTAGCAACTTACCTGTGAGAAACAATAGTGATTTGGCAATGTTTTCTAACCTGCTTACTTTTTCAAGCCAAATCCCCAGAGAGCATTCTTTGTGCATTTAATCCAGATCTGTGCAGTAAACCAGCATGAAACTGCAGAAGCTTCCTGTGTCTCCTTGTGCAGGTTAAGTGGTCTTGTATCCGCCCCTCCAGTAGTTATCTGCAGGCAGGCTGCAGTGGATGGACATGCAGGGCTGGACCTACTTATAGAGAATGCTTATAAACACCCAGGGGAATAGCAGCAGGTGAAGCAGCAAAAGCTACTGCAAGTGGATTTCTAGTCAGTAAGGGGCCCCTGTGCAAGACCAATTTTCATGCCTCCGATTCGACTACTGGTCAAGTAAAACAACTCACTGTGTATTGATTGAAAGCTAGATAGATGTGAGCATTGTCCAAACATTGTGACAGTGGGAGAGGCAAAGCACCCATGTGAAAAACATCTAGTAAAAATGAACCCCAAGGTCCTAGAGGGCCCTTGTACATCTTCACTGTCTACACATATTGTGTGTCCACCCCTGCTCAAGGGATAATGGGACCTCTGTGACCACTTGTTGCTACTTTGTAGACATGTGCGATTCGTTTCGTTACGAATCGAAATTCTTACGAATTTTCCTGAAATTCGTAAATTCTAAAGCATCCGAAATCCGAATTGCAGTTTCCGAATTATATCCGAAATACGAAATTCCGTTAACGAATTTCGGATCCGAATTTCTTTGAAACAGGAACTAATATTACCCCTGTAAATGAGGTTGAACAACATGACAAGATTTTTTTCAATCCGAAATATGGATCCGCTGCTGCTGAGGGTTGCATTACAATACACAGGCAGGAAATAAGAAATTCCGTTGGATTTCATTCCGTTACGAACATTTGTTATATTGAAATTAAAAAGCAAAGTACATTTGTTAATATATTGGAGTTGATGGTAGTTTTTTTTTTAAATCCGAAATCCGAAATTCGGATCCGGAATCCGTTAACGGAATTCGTATTTCGTTTGGTTGACCAATCAGAGGTTTTCTCTTCTGCTGCTGAGAGTTGCATTACAATACAGGCAGGAAATACGAAATTCCGTAAACGGAATTTTGGTCCGTTAAGAACATTCGTTATATTGAAGTTAAAAAGCAAAGTAATTTTATATTGGAGTTGATGGTAGTTTTTTTTTTATCCGAAATACCTAATTCGGAACTGGAATCCGTTAATGGAATTCGTATTTCATTTGGTTGACCAATCAGAGGTCTTCTCTTCTGCTGCTGAGAGTTGCATTGCAATACAGGCAGGAAATACGAAATTCCGTTGACGGAATTTCGTTCCGTTACGAACATTCGTTATATTGAAGTTAAAAAGCAAAGTAAATTTATATTGTAGTTGATGGTAGTTTTTTTATCCGAAATACGAAATTCGGATCCGGAATCCGTTAACGGAATTCGTATTTCAGATAAAAAAACAACTACCACATCGACTCCAATATTAACAAAGGTATTTTTGGTTTTTAACTTCATCATAACGAATGTTCGTACAGTTACGAAAATGTGCCGAAACTAACGAAAATTCGTATTTCGTATGAATCCGAATTGAGTTTCGGACACGAATTACGAAATACGAAATAACAGATATTCCGAAACGGAACACATTTTTTGAAGGCGCACAAGTCTACTACTTTGTCACCTCCCCCAATAAGTAGCCTACTTCTTCTTATATGATTGCATTTCTTCAACTTTAATAACATCTGGAATTTTTGAGACATTCTTTGCCATGTATTTCTATGGGTCTCGTGACTGAAAGTGCCTGAAGGAGGTGATTTTCTTGTTGCCTGCAGCAGGCAATCATGTTCCTCCTTTTAGGGTTCTATTCAAATATGAGAGAGTTAAATGGAGAACCTTATGTATTTTTCCAGGCAACAAGTACAACCCTTTTAATATTTTCAGTCATTATGGCAATCTACATATACTGTAGCAGTAATCTTGTGTAATACAATGTACAGTTTGGTTAACTGATTTTTTAAAATATAAATTAATTGTATATGTGTTATTTTTACTTCTAGCTCAACTCCCCAATTCACCTGCAGTCCGAGTTCCTTCTCTACGTGACCTCCCTGCCAAGCTACAAGATCTGTACCAGCAGGGCTTCACTGTGGCAGTTATACATCCATTTGTTCAGTTCAGCGAGGGCAGTGAAAGGACTCCCCTGGAGGAGATGTTCCGAGTAGTCCTCATCAAGAAAACAGAAAGGTAATTAACTATTCATGCCAAGACATATACCATATTATATTCGGGACAGCTTATACTCGAGTATATACGGTACTTTATTTGCTAGTTTGTAATTCTTTCTTTCAGTACTGTACCTGTAGAATGTTTACAGATATGTTAAAGGGATGCCCCACATTTTAGAACATGTTTTTTTAAATTATTTCTGACTGTTATATAAGAATATAGAAACCATATTTGCACACTGATTGTGCAGCATTCACACCATGGGCACGGGCAGTTTAATGCCCCTACATAGGTCATGACCAGTCAGTAAGTATCTGTTAGTTTTAGGTCCAATCTAAGTCGAATCTAAATTATACTATATACTAAACTATACTATATATTTATACTGTATGTGTGTGGGATTTGCACCATAAACCCTGGGAGGCAAATGCCTGCATCTTTTCAATTTCCCAAAGATTGTCCTAAAACTGAAGGAAACATGCCTATTCCAGAGAATTAAAGCTCATAAACAATATATTAGTATTAAAGGGATTTTACAACAAATGTCAGCTCCATGATGGCATCACAGCTGTTTGAAATATACATATTGTAACCAGCAGATTGTAACCGTCATAAACTTACCTTACCCCATCTTCCACATCGCTGGGCATCATATCACTATCCTCCCAGCTAAATTCCTGGGGAATGATGAGTACTCTAGAGCAAGGGCATCTTCTTATGAGAATTGGGGCTTCTCTGTATTTGCTAGGATCTCATTGGAGGGAGCATGATATCACCCCTACCTAGGCACTGTGGGCAGAAGACAGGGGTGAGGTAAGTATATAACCTAACATTTAATTACAGGTACAGTTTTCAACTGCTTGTTTGCAGTGCTTTTTTCAGGGAGAGGGGGCCCAGATCTAATAAGTGGTGCTTTCATTTTTGGTGCAAGGTCAGCTTTAAGTAGAGAAAGAATGATATGAAAGGTCAAGGATTTTTCAGCTTGCAACTGCATCTACAGTTTATTATATTAATCTATGATCTGTGGAAAGCATATGTCACCTTTTGGATTGTTAGGGTTTGTAGTTTCCCATTTTCTGCAGCATATAATATAAGTGGAGCCAGTTAAGACACAAACAGAACATTAATGTGTGTGGTCAAACATTAATTACGCATCAATATCAATGCCATCAAAGGGAAATCTGCTAACACAGAGACAGCATGTGCAGTGATGGGATGAAATTGGAATTTTATGGTGGATCTTCACACCCGGGTTGCAAGAGTAAGTATACGTTTACAAATAAGCTGCCCCTTCATCTTTTATCCAAATTCAAGGAAACCTGCTGGGAATGATAGAAAAACGCTGTCACTGATCACCTCTCTTTTAGTGCAAGTTCACTGGCTTTCTTCAATATTGGAGTCTCATAGTCTTGAGGGAAAATAGGGAAAAACAAACACAGAAGACAGCGCCTTCTCCTCGCGTGATAATGTTTATTTATTGGGAAAGCCTAAGGAATAAAAAACTACTCACATGTAAACAGTGGAAATGAGCGATAGGATTCTCAACACACCCAGGACAGAGCTGTAGAACTGACGCGTTTCAGGGGAAATAATCCCTTCCTCAGAAGCTAATATAAACGCTTATTTATGTACTAATACTGCTTGTGTGTAAAATACATTTAAAGGGAACCTCTGCCCATATCATGCATACTAAAATGTTTACTGTGACAGCGGCAGTCTCAATACCCACCGTTGCCATCAGAATAATGTTGGATATCTATTTACTCATCATAACCTCATCTTTTATATTTTACAAAAAATGGGTATATAGTTGTGTTTTTGGCCACTATATTTACCAAAGTGCATTTTCTTTTACAAACTTTAAGGGTTTGATACAGAGTTGCGCTAAAATTGTGTGATTTAAAAATTTGCAACTGCCACCATTTTATTTTACAGGGTCTTTGCTTTCAGAAAATATATAATGTTTGAGGGTTTTAAGTAAATTTCAGGACTAAAATGTGGATTATAACATGCGTGCAAAAAACAAAAAAATTAAAAAGGCCCCGGCAGCGAAAGGGTTAAAGTGTCGATTATTGGGAAGGGTTAGAACTTTCAACATTGTTTTTATTGCTGCCCCATGCATTCCTCGCTTGGAGACCTCTCCACCTTTTCTTATACATGCATCACAGGGACAGTAAAGACTCACAGGCAGAAATAAAAGCTTCAATCTAAAACTTTAAAAAAAATATTTTTGACTGGACGGTTCAGTTGACCCAAAACTGAGATTTAATTGGTAAGCTGAATGTCTAACTGGCCTCTTGTATGTCTCAGTAACTTAGAAGTGATATCTCTATCCAAACTAACATGGAATCTCACCCTTGCAGGGGCAGTCTCATTCCTTCTGCTATACCATAATTTTTTTTTTTAAAGAATAGGAAATCAGTGCAGGGGAGTGAGGGGCTCTGATACTGGTTGTAGCAACAGGGCAGACCTTAGAACAGGGTGCATAGAGCTCACTGGAGAGAGTGAAAAAGGTTTGTAGGTGAAACCATAAATTTTGGGTTGTCATCAGAACAGCAATATATGAGATATCTTCCAAAGGGGACACTAGTTCTGGTGACCCTGCTGACATTGAGGGATGTCTCTCTTTTTGAAAGGATGTCCTCTCACTGCCTGTTGTGGCTATCAGACAGGATGTTGAGGGAAATCTCTCCAATAGGACACAGATGTCAAAAAAGTAGCTGATGGGTTATAACCCTTACTTTATCCAAAACGTAAAAAATTGTTTTTGCTTCAGTTTTACTTTAATGATAGAACAGCTTTTTCTTTAGTGCAACATGGAGGCCAATACCTAGAGCAGCAAATTAAAGGGGAGATATCAAGTCACATACATTTCAAACTGTGATCATTTACTGTCCTACTGCCTCTTCTGGCCACATTTGTTCCTAAAGTCTGCAACACTACTTGTAGGAGGTGCCAGGGATGTTTAGAGGTGTCAGATGACTCACTACAATTAAAATAACATGACATTATATCTTCCTTTTCCCATTTAATGGTCTGTATAAAAGCCGTGACTATAATACAGACAGCATAGTTCAATGTGACATTAGCTTGTACTAAAATAATAACATAAGGCAAAAGGTTGTACAAAAATGCGGCATTATTCACGTGCACCTTGTATTCATTTATATAAAGGTGTCAGCAATTTGCTGTAGCAGCTGTAAGAGGATGTGCACCGTCATTAGAAAACTGTCATCACTGGGGTCATTTGTACATAATAGTGTACTTGTTCAATAAATTTGTAGGATGGATTTCTGCAATTTCCTATACCAGTAATGAAGTAACACCTTTTGTGAGGGTGTTGCATGTTTAACATTCATTGCTAATAACCAGATTTGCACTTGCCAATCTGAATGATATTGTAATGAACATTAACCAGTATGGCTTTAAGATATGGATTCCTGTTTTGCTTTTCTTATCCTCCTTCCCCAGTGACAACTTAATTATATTCAAATAAACCTTATTGTTGTGGATTCCATTCTTGTAGTAGCGGCGTCTGATGATGTGTATTCATTAATATTCGCAGCATAGAGCTCCCAGACATTTTTCTTTTGAAGACAAAAGCAGAAGGTTTCTTGCCTGTTCTTGGCACAGATTGCAGAGGTATTCATTAGCAGACATGCAGGCCTATTTAATAAAGCAGTACAAGGGCAAAGATGGCGTGCAGTGTGCAGTAGCTGATAGTTACCAAGCTGATTTCAGTTTATGGGAGTCTAATCGGTAAAACCAAATTCAGACTGGCTCTTATTAGCTACTGAGCATTGTACATTAATATTTCTCTTACTGTATTTGCAAATTATATTGCAGAGGGAATTTATGATTTACCGTTATTTCAACTGCAGCCATATAAATATATAACTTTTACATTATCCCCTATCAGAGTGCTGGTTATTTTCCAGATGGCCACCAAGTCAAAGTTTGCGTTTGGTTGGTAGTTATCTGGATAAGCATGCTACACCTGCCTTCTTGAAAATGCCTGTTGTTATGCCCCCCCAACCATTTCAGGCTCATGGAAAAACAGTATATTGTGTTAAAATTGTATCTATGTTAAAATTACTGTGATCAACTATAACCATTTAACACTTTTGTTAACAATCCCTGCAATGGGGGAGCATCTACCATGCAGTAGAGTGCCCTGACCCTGAAATAATATGCATCTGTACAAACCCTTTCCATTTGCACCATCATGCATGATTGGTGTAATGAAATTATCTGCACTCTTTTTCCCTAAATCAATACCTAAGCAGCTGTGCCAAAGTGAAACAACTTCCCAATATATACAAAAAATGTACTGCATTCTAACTAAATAGTGAAATTGTGTCCCAAAACTAAACCCTAAATATATCCATAAATCATATCACATCATATCAGTAATGAATAAAAAAAAAACTGAATGACATAAAGATATATATCCTAGAGTGTTCACAAGCACATTGCTAGTGAAAACAAAGTCCATGCGATGACATACAAATATGTAAGCTTACAGCTCTTCACCTGTATATCACCAGGTACTATTCAGTCATTGTTCCAGGGAACACACCCTTGGATGATCACAACAGTGATAGTGATAGCAAAGAGTGTCCACACCTTACAATGTGCTCTTAAATTCTTATAATCAGCTCACCAAGTATAGTGGACCATATAGCAAAATAGTCAAATGCATTTAAACGTTTCCTCCAGTCAATCCCCGTCTGTAACTTCCTCCACGTTGGGTCACAATTATGTTATTAATCCCAGATAGTATGATGACATATACACTATAATCAGTTCAGAGGTTCTCTCCACCAAACGATATCATGCATGGTTTTTAGAGGAATGCAGAACCTGTACACATTGTGAACCCATGGACCCATAAACATTGTAAACTGACACTTTTGTCTGCAATGCAGGGTCCTCCAGCTGTGTTTGTCTCAGACCTCCAAAGCTGACTCTATGATATGCACATAACACCCATATTTTACGTGGTTTCTGACGCTCCC